GCTACCGCAAATTATCAGATCCAATATTTATAAGCTATATATGAGACGAAGTATAAATATACCCAATAGCTTAACTAAACAATTTCATATTAAAATCTACCCTCAAAATCGTCTGTACACAAAACATTGATTTTTAAGATAATTTCGCAAAAAGAATTATATATATTTTTTCTCAATTTAATACGATTTAACAAAGTAACTATGTTCCATAATGCCATGAAAAAAACCTTTTTTCTGTCAGTTACTTTCTCATCCCAAAACTATTTTATATTTCTTCCTGATGCATTCTTTGGTACATTAAACACTATTGCGGCTTCCTGAATTAGGTCTTTGGCAAGATTTTGTTATGCAGTCCCTGCAAACGCATAAATACATATATTACTGGTACTACACAATGATTTGATAGTAGAACATTTTGCTATTTCACGAAGAGCTGAGTATGAAAACACCAGTGAACAGTCAACCATCCTTACATCTAATGTATAAACCTGGTGCACGACACCAAAGGTAAAACTGATATTAAGGATGAAAAATGTCTAACCTATCATATCTGAATATATTATGGTTTAAGGAATTTGACCTAGTTGTCATAGATACAACACTTTTTTTTCTTTTATCCATTCCTAATATCATCTGAATACTCCTGTCGCAGTCAACACAAAGTGTTTTCATATGTCCTTTTTTTATGTAATACATTTGTAATATGATGACTTTCTTTTTCGTATGGTCAAAGTGTTCCGTTTCTCTTAGATTTATGAGTGTTGGCTTTAGATAACTAGTAGCCATGGTATCTGCTATAATCTTTTAAACACTTATCCATACAAATACATTAACTACTATCTTTAAGGTTGGATGTGTAATGATTGATATTTTAGTCTTAGATGTGTGATTTCTTTGATTAATTTTTACTGGCTTTTGAACTAGCTGTCAGTAACTGCGAGTACTCCCATCTGTGTTTTTGTTTGATTTATTTCTATTTGTATCCATCTGATGAGTTAAGCCTTTTTTCAACTGATTCTTGTAATTTGATCTTATGTTGTACTGCTACACATTGTCACAGGTTAAGGGAGGTTTGGCACCTTCAAACTATTCAACCCAGCCATATAATGTTTGTGCCTGTCCAATGTCAGGAACTTGTAATTCAGTGGTTTTCGTTTGTTTCTTTGTAACATAATTTTTTTCGGTCATTATTTTGTACTTAAATTATGTCGTTAGTTTTCTCGTTTTAATTGATTTATATTTGTCATTTTGGGGTCTTTATAGTAGCTGACTATGCGTCATGGGCTTTCCGCATTGTTGAAGGCCTGTGACCTGTAGTTGTTAATTCGGTGTCAATTGATCTTTTGGAGTTGTCTCATTGGCAGTTATAGCACATCTTCTCATTTTTATATGGTTAATCATTTAAAACATACATGGGAAACCCCATCACCCAGGAAAGGTATTTCTAATGGGTATTATGTTTTTTTTCCCCACAGAATCCATTTTTGTAATCATGACGTCTTCTGACTGCTGAAAGCATTTTATGTTCAGATTTTGTTTTACATTAAGGATGTGGAAAGTTGTTACTGTTGGACTGACATACCCCAATCAATTATGGATTAAGATTTTAATATATGTTAATGAGAAACCTGAATTTCCTCAATATCATTTGATTTATGTATATACAAATGTAAAATAATGATATGTAGTATGCTTGAGACAATTATCCAATTGAATCATTATTGCCTCGATTTAAGCAACTATGGGTTACAGCCTTCACAAATAAGCAAAACCCATTACATACACTGTAACAATCGACATGAAATATTTACAACAAAACAGAAAATGAAAAGCAGACAGCAATCATTGACAACCACTGTATTACAGGTTCCTGACTTAGGACAGTCACATGTAGATTTTGACGTTGTTAAACATTTGTGTGAATGTTCAACCTTCCACTAATCGTAAACAGTGGAGTGACCGCAAAACACAGGAACAAACTGTAAAAGACAGTTTGAAATGGATTGACTCATCGGATTGTCACGAAGTATAATAGAAGCAATTGACATAAAGATAAAAGACAAACAGTAGGGATCTAAGAGTGATGGCAGTGTCTGAAAGCTTGTACAAAGACATAACTAACCATAAATACCATATGTTCTTCCATGCATTTTTTAAAACCCATGTGCCATAAACTTATTTTTGCCTTTGTTTTTCTATAATAACAATGGTACTTACTTTATTTTTCAACATATTTTCCTATAAAAAATTATCAAATTCAGCAAAATGGCGAAACTCCTTCGTGGCATAATTCTGCGCACTGCTTGGAAAAACTATGAAATATTCCAGGCGCTAAAGTAGCATCAAATGGCACTTTCCTGTCAATAAATGTATATTTTCGGTCGTCTGGGAAAGTTACCTTTTTTCTATGAGATCTGAAGCTGACAGATCTGTGAGTTGATTAAACGTTCTCCTTACTCGTGCAGATCATTTTCGAGACCAATATAGCTGCATTGTTTGAAAATACTGTTTTTCAAATTGACTTACAAGATCATTTACTGCACTACCTTCTTGACAAATACGGTCATGAATATAACGTACACCTTCATCAAGGTGTGGTGTAATTTGTAACTAGAATATCAAAGAAAATAAGAGTCGTTTGGTATGATGTCCCTAGTCAAAAGCTTGAAGTCAAGGTCAACGATGAAGTTCATGTTCTAAATTTGAATTTTGCTTGTCACCGTAAAAGACAATGACAAAGTTTGTGTACAGTTGTAAGTGACGTGTCACAATGATTATATAGTTGGACCGACATGATCTTGTGCAACTTTTATAATAGTTTTCCTCCTTTCAAAATAAAAAATAAGCTGCTACATTGTAGGTTCGATGACTGGCTGTAATCTTTTGATTAGAGATTCCTGACCTTTGACGTTTCAGATTTTGGCCTTTGATATAGTTTTAATACTGGTAAATGATACAGTCATATGGTCTTTTCATAATTTTGAAATTTGAAAAAGGGTCAATGGTAGCTGAATTGTGTATATCAGTTAGGGGCGTTACTTAAACAAGTTATATTTTTTTTAGTTACTTATATAGGTAATTTTTTTGTTTTTAAAAAAACTATTAAATTACTCAACAGAGTTATTTTAAATTTCAATAGAAGCATGGACTAAATGTAGTTTTTATGAAATTTTACATTATTGTATCGCATAAAATTAAGAAATTATTAGATTAAGAATTAGTAGTTACTATTATTTGAGGAACATATGTAATTGTTTTGGGTTACAAATTATAAATAACTTCAAGTCTTAATTAAATCACAAGTTTCTATCTATCTACCTCAAGATTTTCAAGGAAAATTATATCATCATAGTCCCAAGAGACCAATCTTTGGAACAGAAGCGTCGATATATATGAAAGATAAGTGCGCGTCAGAAAGGCAATTAATGTTTCGGGAGGATTAGTTTTTATATTTCATGAAAAACATAACCAGATATCTGTGAAAAGTTGTTAAAGCTAGTAATATCTGTTTGAATGGACACCTATAAAAATAATACTTACAAAAGTTACTTACATAAGTAATATTTAAAATAGCCTCGTTTTCAGCTTAACTTGTATCTATTTTAGGTAATTTCAAATGTTACTTGTTTAAGTAATGCCCCTGACTGTGTTTTGGATGTAGCCATAGTTGCACTTATTTCACGTAAAAGAACCGTGAAATAATATATGTAAAGAATCAGTGTAAATTGTCTTTTCATATGAAACCGGAAATAAAATTTTGTAAAAAGGAAGAAGCAAGTTGTCTCCCTAATTTCACGCGAAAGTATATAGAAACCATATGTATTTCTCGAAACCGTGTAACACATGCTACTTAACCGAAAGTAGCATTGTTTAAATCGGTAGTGAAAGTTTGCAGACATGAAGTGCCAATAAAAAGGGTACGTTTTAAAAGCAAAATAACCGTTTGCTATGACATATAACATATAACAATTATCTCGAAAAGTTGAGAAACAAAAGCGACATTTCAGAAACAAAAACGACGGAAGAAATTTATTTTAAACTAATAATTCAGAAAACTATAGTATGTCTTCCCTGCGCACATATAAAAATGATTAAGGTTTAAATGAACTTTCTTAAAGATCTTAAGAAAAAAGCTTCTAAAAATAAACTTATCTTTTTAACTGGGTAAATGTTTTGAAATATAAAAAAAAGGATCAAATAAGTATTTTCCATTTGTTGCAATAATACTTATGACATTTTGTCCTCTTCAAAGCTTGATGCTGCAATTTAAGTATGACTTTTTGAGTACTCATCGATTGCCATTAAAACAAAAAAAAAAAGGTTATTATTCAAGAGCGCTTTTGTGAAGCTCACATTTTAACTGTTCGCGGTGGATTGTAGACTGTTGTTTGTATTTCTTTGTTTTTGTCAATGTGATCTTAACATTCATTGTTTCCATCACTAATAAAATTAGTCTAAGTCTTAAACTGTGATTTTAGTCTTAGCAACATCGCGAACGTGTGCATAATTAAATAATTACTGACAGTCAATTGTCAATTATAGCCATTGCCATGAATCCAGTACTCTTCAGAAAATTCGCCTTCAGACACTTCATTTCTCATGTTGCACTTGTTTCAGACAATTCAGTATGATGTTGATATGTACAGGTATACATGTATAACTACTGAACATTGATTTAACAGAACTAATTAGACTGCAAGCTTATTGTTTGAAAAGTATTGAAAATTAACTGAAAAACCTAAAATGACTTATTAATTTAGTGTCCAGTATCGTGAGAAATGTTATTGAATTTCTAACAGGCATTTTTGAATCAAAACAACATTTGGCCATACATAGCTTGATCATTATGTTTAATCATCGACATTAATTTTTTCATCTTTTCACACTATATAGAACCACACGATTAATTCATATGAATACGAAAACTATTTTTAGAGCCGTTAATCGATTCAACATTATGAATATGCAAGCAATAAACCTTGGCAAGTTTTTTTTTTTAGAACAACATGCGACAAATGAACAGGATTTGAAGAGAGAGGCTAAAAAACATTCATCCAATACATGCTCACCAGTGAAGGAACAAGAAACTGACAGTGAAGACACTATATCATCGAATGAAGGTAAACTAATAGAATTGAACAGTTAAATGAAATATTATCTATAACAAAATAAGGAAATTTGGAAATATTGATAACTGGAAGAATTTTTATTAAAAGTAAAAAAAATACAAAAATTTGAAGAATCATAAGTCATCACAAGGTCATCATCAATGAGCGAAACTCCCACTGCATAGTAAATGTTAGATATAACAGGCCCTTATATATCAAATTGTAAACAATATAAAAAAATTAAAAAAATTATAGCAGTTGACAACTAACGATAAACACTGGATTGATAGCTTTCGACGTGTGATAAGCAGGGTTTAACATGATGTTTAATACTCAAACCCGCCCCCATTTTACCTTGGAAACTAGGTAATAACACATACACATGTAAATTACAGTTAAATAGGGATTCACTAGTCAGATCGATAATAGACACAACAACGAATAACAAATTCCATGACACAACATATCGATAGTAAAGTTGTATATGCATGTGAAAGCCGGTCAAAGTCAAATTAACCATAACAATAAACTATAGGTCTTTATTACTAAAACACATTAGGTAAATATTTTGTTGGCAAATCCTTCGCTCAAAATTTTTCAGTATAAATCTTTCCAACCGTTACCTAATCGTCAAAATGACTGAATATATATGTTCACTTTTATTTCAAATACCTTAAACCATTGCCGTGACGTAAAGCCTATTCAGTAACTGTGGTTTCTGTTTCTAGAAGTAGCGCTTCCTAAATAAGTCGACGATATGGACTCACCAAATTATATTCAATTGTCTCCTTTGTATGCTTAATTTTATTCAGTTTGAATTGGCTAGTTTACTGATTTCTGTTCACTAATGAAATTAATTTAAAAACGTACCATTAACATGTATAACTTTCAAAATTTTGTTTTGCCTTCACTGCAATCACCCTCCAGGTTCGTGAACGAACCAAGGCTTATCCATTGTATCTTCTAAATAAACACGCAAATCAATATTATAGGACAGACAATAAAATACATATGAAATGTATTTTATCAATTTGGACAAGCATTTATTAAATACAGGGCCAAAGTGATTGTACGAGAGCTGCGGAAGCCATTGTTCTTTTAGTAAAATATCCGACATTGAAATAAGAAATAATGAATTTATTTAAATTTCTACCGATACAATGGCTGTTAAACGTTCAGAGGGATATTCAGAGATGAAAATTCTGGTAGCACGAATTAGTTTTTCTGTTTTTTTTTTCTGTTTTTGTCGCTGTTGTGTGACAATTTTAAGGATTAACTCAGATCTCCACTATTTTAAGGAAAACGTTTAGGTGCATATGTTGTTTTTATTACTTAATTGGTTTATATTTACATGCAGACTGTTTTCGTTACCAACTTTTGATGCAGAAACGTTATTTATAAACAAGTGTGTACCTGAAACCTTCTATTCAGCAACTTATTATTCATCCTAATGGCGGAGCTCCGCTTGACAGTCTCCAGAAAAAACAAACAATAAACAAAAATCGTACAGTTCTGTTCCCATACTGTGCTATGGTTTTAATAGTATATTAAGGTAGCAGTAAACTACTGATTTTCAAATCACATATTCATTTTTGAAATACTACTTTGAACCATCATTTCTCGGACCTCCGTACAATAGAGAAGGCATATATTAGAGGGACATTGAAACAGACAAATTCAAGGAGGATTCGACAATGCTTAACATTATTACAAAAAAGCGACAAACGACAAACCAGTCAACAACAAACTTCACAGAAAACTAAAGGCGGAGCAATACATAATCCCCACAAAAACTCCGTTAAGATGATCACTAGTTTTCTACAAGGGTAAACAGATCCTGCTTCATATGGTTAACCGGCTTTATTGATCATGCAAGTATAAATACGGTAATATGTCTCATTCGGTGATTTCACATTTCAGGAAAAAACTAAATCTTTTGAAGAGGCGACTTTCACTACTGTATGTTGTCTTGCGAAAGCCGTAAAGATTCCATAGACACTGGATGTAGCTTATTGTATACCTTAAAGAAAATTACATTAAAAAATACTTTGATAAAATATTCATGGATACACATTTTAACTTTTTGTACGCATATGAATACGCAGATAGTTTCTTCTGCAAAATTTAGGTGTTTTCAAGATAAAACCTCGAGGTATGAAAGGACATTAAATAAGTTTGTTACATGTTTTACATCAGTTTTCATCACATTTAAGACATATTTTGTCTCACTCACACATTATCAACATTCGTAATCCAATTTTGCATTGTGTTTTCTTCTTGGAGATAATTAGATATATACATCTGTTCAGTTGTCTCCCGAATACACTCACAAAGAAAAGTGATCTTATAGCGTTCACATTATGCATATATGTTTTAGAGCTTGACTATATAATGCAGTATTTGTTTAAAGCAGGTCATGTATTGTTTACCTTCAGAACAAGATTGTCCCCCAATTATAAAATGGCTAGTATTGGAAAGTAATGACTCGATTTCAACGACTAAAGGTATAACAGACACAGGTAAATACTAATATGTAATGTTGTATATATCTTGTAGTTGCAATATCATTATTTACAATTAAAATACCATTAATTAAAAGAAAATGCAACAATATTGATCTCACTGCAACTTAAAATATGTTTGCGTTTTGAGTAGGAAATACTGGCAATTGTTAACATTTATGACAGCTCTATAATGTTTTCGTATTGCTTGATTAGTAAGCTCTTTAATGGACTGATACGTGTACGATACATATTTTAGCGATAATTTTTTTTATAGCATTATATCTGAAACACGTTATCTGTGTGTGTGAATTTGATTATCAAATCAGGTCCAGTCAATAACTGATGAAATATAAGTTAGTTCTGATCAAGATTTCAAAAACGTGTTTTACCCCTCTTTTCAAAATTTGGTCATCAGTCGAACCACCAATTTTTCCAGTTCTAATGTTATATTAATAGTAAATTGATAATTTCATAATTCGATTATACAGAAAAATCAAGGCAAACAAATATGAAAACCGTAAAAATTAAGGGCATTGCATTAGCACCAAAAGAAACGCAACTGGTTGCGTCGACAGATAAGGCGATATCCGCCACGTTTATTCACATCGGTTAAAATGTAAAAATGGAACACAATCAGCAAATTTCAGATTAAACGTCTATTCTGGTATTTTACAAAATAACCCGTAAAACATATTAAGTGTCGTCTTCAATCGTTCTTCCACATAACTGCGTTGGAGAACTTTTTTCTGTAATGAGCACAACTCTGAAAATGAAGTCTGCATATTGTGAAAAGCACGAGTATAACGTCTTACTATAGATATTGAACGCAATACAATAAGACAGAGGGTATATTTCTGAGGAGAAATTGGAAGTTGAAAAATTAGAATCATCACAGTTGTCATAGATAGGATACGATGTATGGACGCTAATTTAGCAATATATAACCCGTTGCTTTAATTGAGCACTTCTACTAAGATGAACATCTGGATCAGAAATATGTTATCGAGTTCTTTGACCCATGATTACAAAACTGAAACAAAAATCATGGAAAAGACAGATGTAGGGTCAACTTTACTACGCATTGATGATACCATGCAAAGACAGCTATAGCGCACGGCTGTTTATCATTTTTAAATTATAAAAGTGTTTGTATGCAGTTTTAGTCCATTTAGGCATGAATGACTCTCAATTTCTCTTTATATATCAAAATAATAAATTATTTTACATAAATGTACTTTTTGTACTTAATTATGATAAATAATAATTAATCGCCAGTAGAAGCAGTCTAATTGTCTATACCTATATCATATATGCATGTCGTCCATTTGTAGAATATAAATTTGATATTCGCCAGATATCAAGTCTTCATATTGAAAATATTGCTTGAATAGAATGAACATAATGGAATATATTTATATGTATCAATATCAGTTTTAAATCAGTTAAAATTGGTCAAAAGCTTATACTTTTAACTCATCAGTTTCTCTTTTCCAGATGATGATAAGATTGCACATAACAGTCCTAAAGTATGTTCTATGTGCGAAGTGCTAAGTCCGAACACATTTTGCGAGGAATGCAAAATCAATTTATGCATAAAATGCATAAGTTTGCATGATAAAATTTTGAAGTCCCATAAAAAGGGAAATATCAGTTTAAAGAGGAAAGAAAAAGGTAAATACATCTACGGACTGATAACGGCTAAGGCTTCATAAAAGTTTGATTGCTTATCAGTTCTATGAAAACTCACGCCAATATTAATACTTAAGTAAAGGCAACGGTAGTATACCGGTGTTCAAAAGTCATTAATCGATTGAGAGAAAAAAAATCTGGGTTACAAACTAAAACCGAGGGAAACACATCAACCATAAGAGGAAAACAAAGGAACAATAGGAAAACTGAAGTGCAACAAAAACAAACGCCAACATAAATAGAAAAGAACTATTTGATAACAACTGTCATATTCCTGAATTGGTACAGGACATTTAAAGAAAAAATGGTGGGTTGAACCTGGTTTTATGGCTAGCCAAACCTCCCGTTTTTATGACAATGTTAAAAAATATCGCTAAAATGACAACACTACGTAACGGAAATACAGCACAAACACACGCAAGAACACTCATCACAGAGAAACGCACAAACATATTATATAATAGTCGACACAACATGAAAACTGCAGAACAACACATAATTTCCAGTGAAATAAGCAAAATGTAGGGGAAACACTCTAAAAAATGCAAATAAAATATATAGTTTGGCTTTCTTCACCAAGACTTAACAGTCTCCGTAAATAACCTTAACAAAACATTTTGAATAATGAAATACTATCATTTTTTTCTAATGAATATAATCTGCTATTCAGATAATATCCCTAAAACATTGTCATGTTTATGTGAAAACTTAAGACATACATGCATGTCAAGCCTCCCGCTAAGCACTGACACATTATAGCTTCTGAATCAGTGAAATTTATTTTATGTTAAAAGTGAGTCACCACCAATCACATCAATGGAAAACCTTTAAAGTATTTGCACGGTCATGAAACTACCGTTTCAGTTTTGACCTTTGAACCTTAAAAAACATATAATATTTTCATTTAACGATTCGTATAGAGTTACACTGGTCTTTTATCCTCCATGTTGCTGCATTATCAGAATCATCAAATGTGCATAATTTATGTTTTACATATAACACAAATGATAAGTGTCTCCTTCAAAATTTGCCTAGTTAAAACGATCCCGGAATTTACCTCTTACACCCAATGTCTATCCCTCTACTCACACTTTACGTATCACACTTTTACAAAAGCTAAGACTAGAAAACAAACTGACAATATATCAACAGACCAAATTGGTTATTACGAATATATAATTTTGTGTATTTAAGCTGTTGTGTTATATTTGTATAAACTATATCTCTTTTTATCCCTATCAGTAACTTAATTTTTTACATACATGAGGTCTCATCCTGGAAGTATATTTGCTTACTTCCCATACTTATTCCATTTTGAAAATAAAATTAAATTCCATAATTGATTGAATTATTTTCGATTGAGTTACAATCGATGCTACTCGTTATAGCACAAGTCAAGCAATTATAAATTATTTGTTCACATGTACACACAGTGAAAGGAGAGGTATATGTCGGAACTTGCTAGACCCAGGAAATATTAAAAAAATAATGAAGTGTACAATATCTTTTAATTTAAAAAAAGGCTTCCAGATAAAGTAAATAACTAAAATAAATAGTTGATTACCTGTCTGTTCTCAGTTTTTCTACCGTTTTTTGTTATATTTTGTCTTGTTTTTATTAACTTATTTTTTCCCTAACGATGGGGTCATTTTGCTAGATTGGCATGGTCATTTATCATTAAACATAGCAAAAAACTGATTATCTTTTACATTTGTATGGACCTTCTATAGCTTACTACGCGGTATTGAATTTACTCATTGTCGAAAGCCTTACGGTGACCTATAGTTCCTAACTTCTATGTCATTGGGTCTCTGGTGGCGAGTCGTCTAATTAGTAATCATACTACATGTTCTTATTTTTATATTTAATGAATGGCTATTGTTTATTTTGAATTTATTGAACCATAAAATTAATTTTTGACTCTTCACATTGAATAATCCGCTAAGCGGATTATGTAAAATGTGAAGAGTCAAAAATTAATTTTATGGTTCAATAAATTCAAAATAAATAATAGCCATTCATTATAAATAAATTTCTATCAAAAATAAGGCTCAACGAGCTTTTTATACTATTTATATCAACAATAACAACGTACACACATGTTGGCGTATGAATACACAACGTCAGAGTTGGCGTGTCGCCATAAAAACTGACAACATTGAAAATAAAGGTAATACTTTTAACCAATCAGAAGACAGTAAATACACCAAATTTATTTATTTACAATTAAATTATATTTGTATAAACAATAACAAAACTATACCACAAAACTATATATACAACATACATAATGCCTTTCGATTCATAGAGTAACTATGTATTCTCAAGTTATAAAGTTTGTGTAGAGAAGATAGTGTCGCAATTATATTATTCGTGTAATAATAACATTAAAACATCCAATTATACTGCACCAGATGCGCAATTTGACAATTACTGTCTCTACAGTAATGCATGAGGCCACACTATTTGAAAATAAAAAAACATAAAAACCAACGTTGAAGAGTAGATATAACCATAGGGGCCTATATTAAATCTCGCCACATTCTGTATGTATGTGCCTGTCCCAAGTCAGAGCCTGTAATTCAGTGGTTGTCGTTTGTTTATGTGTTACATATTTGTTTTTCGTTCATTTTTTGTACATAAATTTGGCCGTTAGTTTTCCCGTTTGAATTGTTTTACATTGTCTTTTCGGGGCCTTTTACAGCTGTCTTTGCGGTATGGGTTTTGCTCATTGTTGAAGGCCGTACGGTGACCTATAGTTGTTAATTTCTGTGTCATTTGGTCTCTTGTGGAGAGTTGTCTCATTGGCAATCATACCACATCTTCTTTTTTATATATACAATACATTAAATAAGGAAATAGACAGGAATTATATATGGAAAGTCGTTTACAAATTCTGTTCTTTTGATACCGATTTGACGGACCTCAATACAAAATTGAAATTTTTCACCTTCGGCTTTTGACTAGCAGCAATGGACGACAAGAAGAAATTCTAAATTTGACTCTGACAAAAAGAAATATAGCGCATTGCCGTTGGTGCAATTTTAGACATGTTTTCTCGAATCTTCTCTGGATTTAATTGGCGTATTTTCATTTCGTTTCGCTACAAAATATCTTCATATGTGGAAATGAACTTACCATTGATACCATAATTTGACATTTTACAATCCAGACGCGCCAGTGACGCTCGAATAAAAAAAAATAAAAAGTAACATTGATTTAAATTATTTCCATTTTGCTGCGATCAGATAAACATTTCCACTAGTAAACATCTTAAATTCTGTTTTGATTTTCTTTTCTCAAAACGTTTTCGCTGAACTTTTTCAGCTTCGAGTTTAACTGAAATCTTATTTTAATCTACTAGTTAAATGGGTTAATAAAAGTGTGTATTGGCATATAAACACAATCGAAGCTGGTTATGTTAGGAACTTTGTATTGGAAGCCTCTGCTAAAACTGTTTTGAATGAAATCTCAAAGTAGTGATTAATCATTGTTTAAACAAATATTTAAAGAAAATATGGTTATAACCATATGCAGATACCAGATGATCGATACAGGCTCCCTAAGACCATCTGATGGTATTTATTGGGATATATGAGCTTTTTCCTTTATGTGGTGGTTGAACATTTAGATTAATTTGTATAATGACTAGAATTATAATGTCATTACAGTATGTTTGTGTATGATTCAGTTTAGTAAACATAACACCGTGTTTGCATGGTGTCCTTTGTTTTGAAGGTATTGAAAGTAATGTCTGTAAATTGCCGGCGGAATGCAGTATAAAAACTGAGTGTGAAGAGCCAAAATATATCTGTTTTCATTGTGACTTAGTGTTGTGCAAAAACTGCTTTGGTCCACACCAGGAAAAACACGATGAACATAGAGTTTTAGATGCAAGTCAAATTCGCATAATTCACCGCAACCACACAGGTATATATCAAAATATAGTATATGTCTGTTTCGTCAACATATTTCGATTTCATTTTAGCGGTGTTTATGGTGAATATATATTTTATATATATTTTTTCTCAAAAACATTCAATAATTTTGATTGAAAGTCATTATTTGGTGCGTAAATGCGAGGTATTATTTTCTAGTTAAACGCAACATTCGTGGCCATGACAACGTTTCAAAAATGCATAAGAACATTTTATTCATAACAAACTTATGAACTTATATACTTTTGTTACACATGTATTTTACTGATTTCACGCTCAAAATGTGTTTTATTCATCCCAATATACAAGAAATATCAAGTAAGTTTACAAACCCCAAGGTATAAATGCTATTTCATGCTACACAAGAGCTGATGACAAAGGGTGGTAGTGTAAAACTAGTTATACGTGCGAACAAGCACCCCCTGCCTTCCATTCTAAACCATATGCCGAAAATGACGAACACACAATGACAAGCTTGCATAGTCAATATTCTGATATGGTGACAAATACCTTGAACATGGAAATAAAATACTAACCATTACTTGAAGAAGGGGATTAAAACGGCAACTCTTCTTATTGAAGCTATAAGAGAAGGCCTATACTGTTGATGGAATATTGTTCTTCCAGAAAACAAGCAATACCTTATAAGAAACAATATGCTCATAGCAGGTTTCACGAGTCTCATCATAACACTTAATTTGTCATATAGCTCAACCCGTTCTTACCTATTGATAGGTTACTGTCTTCAAAATAATTAGGTGTGCACGTTCCGGATGCAAGTAAAACGAGAAATCGCTTCGGACGCCTCAAAGTTATAGAGTGTTATTTTGATTTAATTAAAATTGGCAGTATTTGTTAGATACTACCAGTATTTTATATTGAGAATTGTCCAACAATCAGATTATGCAGACACAATAGCTAATCTATCTTGTTATCCTGCAATAGACGTTTCTTCTATACTAATACAGGTGTACAGATAACACGAAGCGATATAGGTATACTAGACGTATATAGTATCCTGGTATCCTGCCTCTGTTGCGAGCTATCTGATATGTCAAATTACTGTTTACGTCACAGTTCAATTTGGAGTCCTCATTACGGTCCACGTTTAAGTCATGTCGATTTCTTTCAAAAACAGATTCACCGATTTTGATGGGGAAAAAAAGTACAAAATTAATTGCTGGTTAAATGCAATAACTGTTTGTGTCTTTAAATATCAGCTGTATTTGTACTCGGCTCGAAACAGGAGTAATAGCTCGCTGAAGCTCGCGTTAAAGCTGTTTCTTAGCCTCGTACAAATACAGCTGATATTTTAAAGACACTAAATAGTTATTGTCTTTATACCCTTGCGTTTGAAAAATGGTAAAACAGTTTAAGGTTTGATAAGGCAACTGTTTTTACCCTTAACATCGAAAATCAGGTAGTATTTTGATTTTTCCAAATTTTCTTCAGATGTTCCCTAAATAGTAGTTTTTCATACATTTTCATACATTTTCAAGACGAAAACCACAGTTCATTAATTAGGAAGATTCCACATACTAACCTGATCGGGACGAAGAGAGAGGAATTGAGAATATCATTGGGGAAAGGTTATTTCGAATAGGGACTTACATTTGACATTAAAATAGTAACTTGCTGACCTCTTATTTCAAATGGTTCTTACACGTGCAAAGAGGTAAACAATATCCTCACGGATTTAACGGTTACAATCCGAGCAGACACTGTTTTGTATTAATACATCAGGCACATCCAAACGATCGCCTCTGCAGCGAACCTGCTACGGTTAACAAAAATACTTTTTAGTGTTTGCTGATTCGTAAAATAATATGTTGAGAATAAACAGTTCAAGATGCAATGGACAAAAAACCGTTTTCTGTCAGATATAAACGTTCGGTTTAAATGTATACATTCTTATTTTGTAATGTGATATGGTTGTAAAGGAACCACTTTTGGGGGGTTAGTCAATATTAAAAGTTAAATTAAGGTAAAAGATAAATACTAGGAGATTTTAAAATCTATTTGCCAGTTTTCCCCCTGAAACACCTCTTCAATTAAAAAATGAATATATTTACATCTTTACTACAATAAATACGAGCTTGATTGTCAACTTAATCTTAAATTTCTGGATGCGACATAGTTAGTACAATAATATTATATGGAAAATCAATGAAAACGAAGTTCAAAATTAAAATAATTAAACATTTTAGACTTTAGATTTACTGTATATATCTGAGGTTTATTATAAGTTAGCGTATGTTCAAATAACTGTCTAATCCATGGAAATAAAAGTTGAATGTTCTACAGCTCTATTATTTCCCTATAATTGGCAGTTATTTAGACTCTTTTTAAAAGGAAATGGATTGAGACTCGCAGTCGTGTCAAAAATAGCCATGACGCCGTCAGGATATTTCAGAATTGTTATTAAACTTTGTTCAGAGTATTTGTTTTATGGCGAACTGAAAATATCAAATACCTGTATAAGTTCGAAAAGTCGTGTTTATTCGAAAAGAAATTATGTTTATTTGCAGAAACTCAGAACTCTAATTATCCAGTACTGATGGTGGTGTTAAATCTTAAAAAGAAAATATCGAAGTGTGATCTGTATTTCCATCCTTATGTCGTGTGCACGAAAATAAATGAAGAAAAATTGGACAAATATCAGTTGATAAAATTTCATAATATGGAGAACATGCAAAATGCACAATCTTTGAAGGTATCAGAGGTCAGTAGTGTGTAAATTAAGAAATATCTAAACCTTAAGCAAAACATATTACAACATAATTTGTCTTTTTTTTTTGTTTGGTTTCTAACAAATTCATAGATTCAATGCACAGTCATGTTTCGATTATTTTCGTCTCAATTTTAGAGAAATTACGTTTTTCAAATCACGTACAATGTAAGCAGCACACATGTATGTTTTTAATGAAATTAAAGATAGGGTATGAGAGTGATGAGTCTTTATCGATATCGGCTGACTATGGGAGCTAGTTTAACGTTGTCAAACCATGTAAACGTCTGCGTTAATGGTCAAGCGTCATGAACCTTTACCAATATGTTTATGAACGATGACATTTATAAAGACGACTTTACAGACTTCATTCCTCTAAATGAAGAACAGTATCAGAGATCAAAACTTTTATCACATGACAATCGATTTAAAATGAGTGTTGTCTCAAGCAATCGGAAATTATTGGTATTCCTATCTTAACAACACTACTCGTGCCAGTTAGGTAAATGATACATTTTGATCATAATTTAAATGATTACATGTACCATATTGTATCTGCTACGCATTTTATTATGCTCAAAAGAGTGATTAATTATCCGTAATCTTGGCAGCTTATTAAGAGAATTATTTTCTTTTAATTGTTTTTGTTTAACAAACAAACACAAATGAAGACGTTTTATTTAACTTATTATAAATCAAATATCTCTACATCTAAATATGTACTAAATTTTCTTATATGATAGCTGTATGTATATATATGTTGATCAACAAGTTTGAAATTTTATATCCATGTTTTTTTGTGTATAAGAATATAAAATGAAAAATGAAATTTTCAATGTGTATATTTTTAAAAAGAGTCACTAACGAATATAGTAATTTGCTGTACGCAGACCACGCCTAGTTCATGCATAAACAAAGGTATTGTCATGGACATACCTGTCTTAAGGTATTGTCTGGGGCAGACCTGTCCTTAGAACTGATCAATAGAAGACTTGTCCACAAGTCCTATCTGGATCAGACTTGTCAATATGTCTGCAGCAATCTTAAAAAAATTAGACCTAGGTCTGGTCTTCCACCGATGAAGTTAACTTACTTGTCTATTTTTTTTTTTAAGTTAACTTAGAAAGCAGTCAAAAAGTCTGTCCAAGCTTACTTTTGTAAGACTGTTCCATTCGGTCGCATGACTCTTATCGTGGCTCGGTATTTGTACACCAGGCTTTTTGGTTTTTGGCTGTGGGCTTTCCTGATGCGGGTCAGTCCAGATATGCATTCGAACGCATGAGTTTTGTATTTTTTTTTCTCATTTTATATACCCTTGAATTTTATTTTACTTACTTTTTAATTTATCGGGAAAGTGTGAATACCATTATATTTGACTATATATATCGTGCTATTCACTACAACAAATAGTTTCTCGGAGTTTTTGACAGATTTGTGTTTTATTTTTGTTCGGATTGTTTTAGTCAGTTGTGTCGCATATTTATGATGTCAATTCACACACATTTGGCTGCTGACTCAAACTTATTGTCAACAAAATATGTCTTTTTAGAATGCTCACACAATGATGGCAATATGAGGGAACTACTCCCATGCAAATAGAGACTGAACTTGCTATAAAACTAAATTTAACCGACTAAATTTTCTATGGAACCATCGAGGTGACTTCTGAATACTGCCGACGGTCATTTAATTCAAGATAAAAATAATTATAGATAAAAATAAAAAGCGAGCTCTGTTTAATTTCCTATAATAGGTTTTAAAATATGTTAATCATTGTTTTTTCCTGCATAAGAATGACTTTTTTTTATTGTGGATCGAATCAGTCAACCTAATGGTTTACCCTTGTTTCACTTTCAATGTTGTCATTTGTTTCCTTTTAACAGATGACCACGCCTAGTTCATGCATAAACAATCCCTAGCTAAGGGGTTTAATTGAAGGCCACGTGAATACGGATTCAATGAGGTCAAATTATTCACTTGCATGTGAATGATTCATCAGCGATGTTTCTAAACTTATTTTGACAAAACTGAAATAAACTGGCTGCTTAAAGCGAATTTGTAGGTCCCTATATTAGTGATGGAACAAAAAACACATATTTTAATTTCCTTTTATATCTCGTAGCTAATGCCCCTGTAATGTCGGTCTTAAATTTGTGCAGAACATGGTACGTCTTGAAAACAATGATAATGTCAGTTTTTGTTGAACTAAACGGTCATTTTACTTGTCCGACCCTAGACATCATGAATACTACACGATTATTTTTTATTCTTTTAATATTTTATAGAATATAATGATAATGAGGCGAAAAAATGTAATCCTTAATGTTTATCACATGCTGAAATTTCTGTACAGTGTTAAAATGTGGTAAATTGTCTTCGTGGTGTAAACTTGTTCCTCAGATCTACACAATGTAAATAATAATGTGAATGTATGAAAACAGTATGTTTAATACGTTTAGTTGGTCAAATTCCGTAACACAGCAATCAGATAAAACAACAAAGACATGTTGTTATCTCTTTATCATAGTTACCATCGAGTAGTTTGAAGGTTTCAATGCATTGTGAGTTAACAATTATGAAAGATACAATTAATTTAAAATATGAATATTCCGTATTGCAGATAAATTTAACAGATTTATTTTGTGTTTCATTGTTTTTTTCAAGATATATATTACAGTTCAAATTACAATTTCAGTTGGCAAAATATGTGGCTTCATTGACACCTTTTTATAAAGATTGTTTCATTTAAACATTGCAGATTTTTTTTATTATGATTGTTTCATTTAAACATTGCAGAAATGTGACATCTTACAGGCAAAATTGTTGCATGTCATTGTTAAAATGAAGCGTGATGTCAAAGAGATTCTCAAGAAAAGATTAATATTCTTGCAAGACGAAGACATTTTATGGGTCTTGTTTGAGACGTCACTACTGAAAGAGATCATACTAACCACTCTATCGAAAGTATGTAGCGATTTATTGGTAAATGATGAAAACAACACATTATAAATTTGAGTTTAGTGTAATAATATTTTATTCCAATAATCAACCAATAGGATTGGACAAAAAATTAGTACAACTTATATTAAGTCCTCTTCTAACAATTACAATACACAAATAGGATAACAGCAAACACATAAATTGATTTTCATCATAATTAGGTCTTTCCACTTTTCCGTGGAAAGACTTTTTGCTTATTCTGATTATTATATTTTTTTTCTTCCGCCTATCTTCTTTTTTTCTTGCGCAGTATTATTGTTTCACAGATGTCGCTTAGATTTTTGGTTTATGATATCGAACAGTTTATACGCTTTTGAAACTGACACTGTTTAACCGAACACTTTTTCTTGTGAGCGTTATCTTCCCAAATACTATGTTTCTTGTGTCCACTACTCCTTCGCAACCGTAAAACATTACGACAAATTTATCTTACCTAATTGCTCGTTATATCTTCAGGAATAGGATGATCATTTGGACCGAAGATATCTGAAGACTCCATATGAGAGTTATTCCCCCTTATGCATTTGATATAAGTGATGTGCATTTCTAACTGGTAAACCATAAGTGATAGAGACCTAGGGTCTTTTTGAACTGAGGTCCTTCATCCAAAAAAAAAGAAGAAAATTAGGTCAAGGTCAAAGGTCAAGGTCATATTCTAAATTTTGATGTTGGCTTATTTTCACTTCTTTTCAAAAACTGTATAAGATATCTATCTTCATATTTTTACTAAATTGTTAGTTGTGACATGTCGTTACACATACATTTTGGTTGAAAAAAGTAAAATCACAAAAATACCGAACTCCAAGAAAATTCAAAAAAAAAAGTCAAAAATCAAAAAGCAAAATCAAAAGCTCAAACACATCAAACGAATGGATAACAATTGTCATATTCCTGACTTGGTACAGGCATTTTCTTATGTAGAAAATGGTGGATTAAACCTGGTTTCAAAGCTAGCTAAACCTCTCACTTGTATGACAGTCGCATAAAATTCCATTATATTGACGACGATGCGTGAACAAAACATCCAGACATAATAGGTACGCTGACATTAAATTGGAGTTTTCACCTCTATTATATTTAAAATTACGCTGATGGTGATATAAATCACCAACCATATATAATAAAGACCTTTTATCTTTTGATTTGAGGTCCTTGGTTTATGACTTTGAAATTGAGGTCAAGGTCATAGATAAATTTGATGTCCTCAATTTTGACCGTTGCTTTTACCTCATATGTATACATGATGGGACTTTTTGCATTAGATTGCAAGCTATTTGACCATGAAAAAGCAAACCGAAAGTGACATTGTGTAAATCGGAAGTAGCTTTTTTGTTGTACTTATTTAATGTAAAAGTATATAGAACCAAATATTTTTGGAATCAGTGTCAAGTAAACTATCAAATAATAGCGGAAATTACATTTATCAAAAAGGAAGTAACATTTTATCTCCCTTATTTCAAACAACAGTGTAAAGAAAGCATAGATTTTTGGAATCAGTATACAATAATCTATCACTTGACACTCGAAATGTAATGTTAAACTGGATTCTGTTTTTTTCATATCAAATATGTCGTTTTGGTTGGAAAGACCCTAATTGTTCTCTGAACAATGGGTTTTTTATAATTTATTTATTTGTTAATTTTTATGTTTTTTATTATTAGTATATGAATTGTATTAAAGGATGACATAAGGCAGCTTGATCCATCACTTGTGTTTGAAGATGAAGTGATCTAAACAGAAAATAAAGAAGACGTCTAGGACTATAATTACATGTGCAATCCTTTCATATAAATGTCCAATTTACATTTGCATTGTTTTTTGACACTTTTATTAATCAAGTAAGATATGTAGATATCTTTCCTTGTTTCAAGCCCACTTTTAAAATTATTTACAATTTGGTTTAGCTTTTTTGTTTGATTTTTAATATTGTTAGATGTTTTTAGTATCAAGTATTTCAGCAAGGACATGATAATATTTGCATATGGTATTGACAATATTTTTTGATATGCGTAAAATATTTTTTTAACCTTCGTAAGAGCTCAACATCTCAACATTGAATAATCATATTTTGTATTTCCCCTCCCAATAACCGGGCATATACTGTACTCTACTCAACTTGTCCGTCCGTCTGTTCCTTTTTTTTTTTTTATAGTTTTGTCATATAAAAATAAGAAAATGTCGCATTGTTGCTAATGAGACAACTGTCCACCAGGGAGCAGTTAACAACTATAGGTCACCGTACGGACTTCAACAATGAGAAAAACCCATAACAGATAAAAGACCCCAAAATGACAAATATAAAACAATTCAAACGAGAAAGCTGACAGCCTGGATTAGTACGTAACAATGAAAGAAAAACAAATGCGGTATACAGCAACAAACGACAACCATTGAATTACACCCTTTATTTTTCGGGTAATTAATACGGATAGCGTTTGACATCTTTAGCCGAACAGATTTATCATTTTTACATATTTAATTCATTGTATGCTGGTTCATATTCTGGACGCCAGTCTTTGCTCCTTTCTAATATAATTCACAAACAAAAAACAAATATGAAGCTTAGAAATGGAAAAATATTAAATACTAAACTCGTTCAAAGGGTATCTACACGTCTCAATCTTCAAAATCGCTTATCTAAAAATACTACCATCGCTAACATTTTTAACTATAAAAATCGTGGTTACCCTTCTATCGATAAGTGTCATGCCAAAAAATCACTTACATGTCCCCGTCTTTCCACCAACAATACGGTAAGGTCCACGTTTAATGGTCGCACATTTTCTTTAAATTTTGAAACTGATATAACTTGAAAAACAAACAGTATTATTTATTTACTCACATGAAACAAACCGGGATGCGGTATTCAGTACGTAGGTGAAACTGGACGATATTTATCTAAACGCACTCAAGAACATCTGTATCGTTTTAAAAGACCCAATAAATTCAAAAGTATCATTTATCAACACCTTAAGAAGCACAATCATCCTATTAAATATTTAGCAGTTCAACCTTTAGAAGTAGTAAATAAGCAGCCTGGTGAATCTCATTCAAAGTTTGTACGATCACGGAAAATAATTGAATTAAATTGGATTAAAAAATTACAGACAGTCTACCCTCTCGGTCTTAATGATAATATCATGGGAATTGGTAATATATCAAGAACAGATTCTGTTAACATTTTGGATATAGTTTCTAAAACTGTTCGTAAAAACCGTTCTCATGGTCGTAGAAAAAATCGCAATCAAAGAAAATTTCGGACCAATCATACCAATATTTCGGACCTAATTTCTATTTCAAAAAACAACGGCAGACATTATCTGTTAACAAAGCTCTGTTCATTACCGGTTAATAAGTTAAATAAAATTTTAGAGGATTGCAACACAGTTTCATATAGCAGTCCTAAGTATGAAATCGTTCAAATTATAATGGCATATTGTTATTCTAAACTGTTTCCCAAAATTGATCGCCCTGAAGATCATAAAAAAACAGTTTATTAAAATAAAGTATGTTAATAAAGGTTTTGATTTTGTAAATATTGCCGGTATTTTTAACGACCATTCTGTTAAAGAGTTAAATTCCGGGATATTTTGATAATACTGAGCTCCCTCTTATTTGTTATATTTACAAGAAATCTACCCGGAAATTTGTGTTTAGTTATAGCCAATTGTGTAAAGATGTTAATATCAGTGAAAATACACCTACTTCATGTAATTGCAGTAATTCCGAATACATTTATGGACCCATTTCCCATGTTATAACAGGAGATCTTAACATCGTTCAAGACCGAGAGTTAAGATCATTCCTCAGTAAAGGACCTAAATATCGTCCCCCGTCAATTATTAATTGGAATGAGTGTCGTAATATCATCCACGACTCACTCCATACTTACTGTTTGAAATGGATAAAACGGGAAAAAGCTGACAAAAAATCTTTGGACTCTTTTTTTAATTCAGTAATGAACATAGTTGCTATACGTATTCAACATTTTAAAGAACATTTCACTCTAAACAATAACCACAATAAACCTATTTCTCGTATCAAACATAAACTAAAAGAACTAGCCAAGGAATTTGTTTTTGTCCCGGCCGATAAAGCTGCTAATAATATTATTATTGTTTGACGTAAATTTTACACTGAGGTTCTGAAAAAAGAAATCACCAATTCACCAACATTCCAACTGACTCCATTTTCAGAAAACGACATCTGTAACAAACATAAACTTTTAGCTACCGCTTTACAAGCAGAACCAAATACAATGAAAGTCCCAACTATGTATTGGCTTCCGAAGCTACACAAAACACCTTACAAATATAGATTTATTTCGTCTTCAAGCCATTGTTCAACTACTAAATTGTCTATTCTTCTTACCAGTACACTTGGTACAATCAAAAACCTGATAATAAATTGTTCAAATAAGGCCTTCGAAAATAGTGGAATTAATTACTTTTGGAGTGTCAAGAACTCGTTGGAAGTACTTGATAAATTACATGCATATATTGGTGATTTTGAATCTGTTCAAAGTTTTGATTTTTCTACCCTATATACCACTTGGCTCACATTCTCATTAAGAAAAAATTCACACACCTAATTAAATGGGCATTTAAAAAGTCAGAATGTGAATATATATGTTCAAACTCTTTTATGTCATTTTTAGTAGCAATAAACAAAAAAACTATGTCAATTGGACATGCTTTGATACTATATATGCCCTTGAATTTTTACTAGATAACATTTGTGTTCGCTTTGGAGATTCCGTATATCGTCAGGTTATCGGAATTTCAATGGAGACTAACTGTGCACCACTTATTGCGGACCTTTTTTTGTATTGCTATGAGTTACAATTTATGACAAAAATCAGCAAAGACCCATCGAAACAACATCTGATACACAAATTTAATAATACTTTTAGATATTTGGATGATATTTTGGCTCTCAATAATGACGACTTCAGTATGTATACTAAAGAAATTTATCCTGTTGAACTTACTTTAAATAAAGCTAATACTAACAATGACCACTGCCCTTTCCTCGATCTTGATATCTATAGCATTAATGGAAAGCTTAATACTAAAATATATGATAAAAGAGATGATTTTTCATTTCCTATCGTTAATTATCCATTTTTAGATGGTGACGTTCCCTTGTCACCATCTTACGGTGTTTATATATCTCAACTTGTACGATTCGCTCGTGTATGTAACAATGTTTTAGATTTTAACGAGAGAAATTTATGTATTACTGAAAAATTATTACGCCAGGGTTTTCGATATCACAAACTAGTCAAAACATTTACTAAATTTTATCATCGGTATAAGGACATCATTCGTAAATATAGCTCAACATGCAGACTTCTTATACGTTCAGCTATTTCACATCCAATTTTTTATGGAAATATTCTTTATAAAACACAAAAATGTCAGTATTCACCTCTGAAGCTAACAAAACCTTTAAATAGACTTATTAAGAAGGGATATAGTTACGATACTGTTGTCAGGTCATTAAAGATTGCATATTTTGGCGTTAATATTGATTCACTTATAGGGTCTTTGCATCAGCACTAAACACATTTATTTACAAACCAGTTGTTGGCATGACACGGGTTATGTTCTTCTCATATATGTTATGATGGTATGATACTAAACCCCTAACGGGAAGGATTGTGCCTGATATTCATATGATGAAGACATAATCTTTCAATCAGTTTAATTGAAGTCTGGAGCTGGCATGTCAGTTAACTGCTAGTAGTCTGTTGTTATTTATGTATTATTGTCATTTTGTTTATTTTCTTTGGTTACATCTTCTGACATCAGACTCGGACTTCTCTTGAACTGAATTTTAATGTGCGTATTGTGATGCGTTTACTTTTCTACATTGGCTAGAGGTATAGGGGGAGGGTTGAGATCTCATAAACATGTTTAACCCCGCCGCATTTTTACGCCTGTCCCAAGTAAGGAGCCTCTAGCCTTTGTTAGTCTTGTATTATTTTTAATTTTAGTTTCTTGTGTACAATTTGGAGTTTAGTATGGCGTTCATTATCACTGAACTAGTATATATATTTCTTTAGGGGCCAGCTGAAGGACGCATCTGGGTGCGGGAATTTCTCGCTGCATTGAAGACCTGTTGGTGACCTTCTGCTGTTGTCTGTTCTATGGTCGGGTTGTTGTCTCTTTGACACATTACCCATTTCCATTCTCAATTTTATTCTGACTTTGGACAGACACATAAAGAAAGTAGCGAGGTTAAACAAAAGTCATATTAGAAAGCGCCAAAAACTATCTCCCTTACATGAGACATTTTAGTCCAAATTAGTGGAAAAAGGCTTTACTCATCAGTTCGATACAAATAAGAAAACAAAGTAACAAAACCAACAAAACCAACTACAGTACGTGGCAGAATATTCATACATCCCCACATCAATAAAAAAAGAAACTAAGTACAGATGTGAGAGTACTCGCAGTTACCGACAGCTATTTTTAAGCCAGCAACAATTCTAAAATACAAACAAATTATGTATTTAAGACTAAAATATCAGTTTCATTAAAACTGAAAAAAATCCGTCTATTTCTGAAAAAAAGTCATGTTATTGTATTCTTGTTGGTTGTATTAGTGATGAATATTTTATTCAAAATATTTATGTTAATAATTGCATTATTTTACAACTAGTTTATTATATATACGTAAGACAATGTAATTACATTCTTTTTTGTGTAAGTTCAATCAAATGTAAAAAAAAGGATTACTTTTTTGAATGTTTTATGAATGATAGCGAAAGGTTTATATTGTTTCATATTTCGTGTGAGTAGAAAACTAAATACCTTATTTGTTCACAAAACAAAAAACGAAAATGTGATATACAGCTACACACGTGAATTACATGCTCCTGACTTGGGACTGGCTGGGGCCAAACCCACCAATATTGTAGGACAGTGATGTAACAGTACGACAAAAGAACAAGCTATAAAAGTCAGTTGAAAAGGGCTTGATTCATCCGATCGATACAAAGAATTAAGTGTTTTACAAAACCTCAAAAGACACAAAGTACAGATCTGAGAGTATGAAGTCGATTTGACAAAATGTTTTACTGACTATTGATTACTGGGACCTTTTTTTCAAATGGTGACAGAAATGAAATGTATGATATGAAATCAAGTATAAATTTTAATAAAAAAAAATAAGAAAATGTAGTATGGTGGCCAATGAGAAAACTCTCCACCAGATTCTAAATGATGTAGAAGTTTACCACTATAGATCACCGTATGACCTTAAAATAATAATTTGAAGTTATGAATTGATTGTGTGTACTTTCCGGAAACAGAGACATAAAATTGAGAATGGAAATGGGGAATGTGTCAAAGAGACAACAACCCGACCATAGAGCAGACAACAGCCGAAGGCCACCAATGGGTCTTCAATGCAGCGAGAAACTCCCGCACCCGGAGGCGTCCTTCAGCTGGCCCCTAAACAAATAATTATACTAGTTCAGTGATAATGGACGTCATACTAAACTCCAAATTATACACAGGAAACTAAAATTAAAAATGATACAAGACTAACAAAGGCCAGAGGCTCCTGACTTGGGACAGGCGCAAAAATGCGGCGGGGTTAAACATGTTTTTTGAGATTGCAACCCTCCCCCTATACCTCTAGCCAATGTAGAAAAAACAAATGTACAACAGTACGCACAGTAAAACTCAGTTTAAGAGGTCCGAGTCCGATGTCAGAATAGGAAACAAAAGAAAATAAACAAAATGACAATAATACACAAATAACAACAGACTACTAGCAGTTACTGACATGCCAGCTCCAGACCCCAATTAAACTGATTGAAAGATTATGTCTTCATCATATGAATATCAGGCACAATCCCTCCTGTTAGGGGTTTAGTATTATACCATCATAAAATATATGAGATGAACATAACCCGTGTCATGCCAACAACTGGTTTTAGAATAGATGTGTTAATTCCGATGCAAAGACCCTGTAAGTGAATCAATATTAAAACCAAAATATGCAATCTTTAATGACCTGACAACAGTATCGTAACTATACCCCTTCTTACTAAGTCTGTTTAAAGGTTTTGTTAGCTTTTGAGGTGAATACTGACATTTTTGTGCTTTGTAAAGAATATTAATATATATATTGATTGATTGTTATTTGTGATGTATTGTCATTTGACAAATTATAAAACTTGTAAAGTCCTTAAACACTTTACTTGTGATCCCATTAATGGGCGTCAAACGCAGGATAATAAATCAGTCCCATTTTCTGTTGCTAAATACAATTTTTCGCTTGAACATATGAAAATCAGAAACACAGTAACCGTTGTATTGAGTTGTATGTAACATTCATCTCTATATAAATAAACTATCAGAAACCTTTTATTTCATATTAAAGCAAATCGATAGTTTTGATAGTAATTTATAAAACATGATATTTATAGTAATTTTCAAAATATAATATTTGATTTTCCCCTAATATGTAGGATCCACTATAATAGAAGTCATTGAACCTCTCCTTGTAAAAGCAAAAATCATACTTCAAGTCTCTCTTAAAAAATCAAATATCTAAATAGAGGAAGTCTCTTTCAAATATTCATTAAAGACTTAACAGTACATATATTTAAGTAACTAAATAAAGCTGATTGATTGATTGCTATTTTAACGTCCAGTGGAAAATATGTCATACATATTCACGATAAGATGTAAAGTGGATCGACCAGGTAAACATGTTAAGAAATTTAGCGGGACACTAGTTACTTAAATTAGATGGTACGTTTGAAAGAGGCATATAGTATACCACTTACAAGAATAAAGATGAACCATGACCCCATGTATCCTAAGGTAAGCTATTTATCCCGTCTTCCTCCCCTTTTCTCACGACGGTAGCCAAAAATCGAAAAATTAATTAAAAGGCAATAACGGCCACCTATAACTAAATAAGATATGAACATGTACTTGCATTGTAGATAAATTCCTTGCGAGTCAGGTTTCGGACAGGTTTGAATTTTCATTCCAATACCGTCTGACTTTTCGTGTTGCTCAGTCTTTAGTTTCTATGTTGTGTTTTGTGTACTGGTTGTCGGATCCTCGTTTTTGTTTTTTGACATGGCATTATCAGTTTGTTTTCGACAAGTGAGTTTCAATACCTCTTTGATATCTTTCGACTCTCTTTTAACCAGAGATGATCACCCCAATGCACTTAATTATTTGAAATTGTAAATGACGGTACTTCTGTTGCCGTTGTATTTTATCCCCATTTGGACCCCTCAATCTAAATAAGTCATGCCTGACATACTTTTAGTAAAAATAACGTCAACATTAAAATCCTACACATGGTTAAAAAGTTCCGGGTATGATAAAAAAGACACAATAAAGTGCTTTTATAAAATGACATCGTCTCAGGTACATGTTTCTTCAACAAAAAAAAAATATCATTTTGCGTTCAATAACAGTGTAAAATAAACGATTAAGTTTGTAAAGATTTTTAAAAAACCAAGCCCCGCTGTAATCGATCTTAACAGTTTATTTAAATACGTGTATATATCTACGATACATGATTGTAAAGGTAACCAAGCATTGAGTCAAGCAATAATGCAAACTACTGTAAACTGTCAAGAGTGCAAAAAGGAACCAATTCGATGGAAATGTAGGCAGTGCACGACATATTTCTGTAGCGCGTGTAAACTCACTCATAGAGAATATACTCGAAATGAAAAATTTCAACATAAAGTGGTTGCTTTCAATGCTGCCGAAATATCCGATCTGAGTGATTTTAATAGAATATTTAGTGGAAATGAGGTAAGATATTAATCATATTTATAGGTATTTAAAATGAAATATGACTCGGATACAACGTGAAAATGATTGCTTATTTCATTATTTTCAACTATGCTTGTGTAGAAAACCGTTGATCCATACAATGTACATATATGTCATCTATGGTACATGTGGTTATACTTGACTGAATATTGGACTTGCGTTTTATAATGTTATAGGTAGCACTGGAATTACGTAATCTTTACTAATAATCATTTATAATCATGGTAATAATACACATACAGGTTAAGAATAATATTTTATAATTTCATTCGTCCAAAGTTCTTATCTGGACTTGCTTTCATCTGGAAAGCTCATAGCCGAATATTTGAAAGCCAAGAATGTATAATCATGATAATAATCGAAATAGTTGAAGAGCTATATGACCAAAAAGGACAAAAAACAATAAAAGACAAATTCATCATAAGATCTATTTGACATGAATCGAGGTTGTAGAAAGTTATGGCTTGTGGTCACGCCGTCAGTAATTGAGGCTTTGGATTGATAAATTGCTGAAAATAGATTTATCTATTATTGATATCATATAAACCTTAAGTTTATTTTAACCAGAATCCCAGTTAAAATCTACGAAAACTAAAGGAATCAGGACAAAGTATACGTATTTAGGCGGTATTTCGGATTTCAATGATACTTTTTTACATTTTAAACTTATTGAATTGCATCGGAATATCGAAAAATGATATATGTAGCAGCTATACTTCTCCACTGAAAATCAATGAAATAATATGTATAGAATGTACGTAAAATACTGCCCAAAATGCATTTTTTCCCCAAAAAAATCCGTCCACATAACTTTGTTACTAAAATGATTTGTTATGCTGTAAACATTTCCGTCCAAATGGAATGGAAATAAAGTCGATTCATTTCCAAAATATTTGTTTGAATTTATATTTCATAAGACCTCACCATTAGAATGACTTTCTAATATAAATCAAAGAATGAAAACAACACGTTATATAAATTTCATATGCCGAAGCGCTTTTCTGGATTTACCTTCATCAGGAACGCTCAAAGCCAACTATTTGAAAGCCAGGATTTATGAGAACCAATGTTACTATGGCATTGATGGTTTCAACTGTTACTATGTCATTAATGATTAATATGCGACAGATTCTTTTCAATTTGCTGTTTTGAAGGGGAAAGACAGGTTTCATTGTTTGGACAATCAGTTGACTCTAAGAACCATAGGGAAAAAGAAAATGTTGATTTCTTAAAATGTTTTACAAAGAACGATGAACAATTTTTTAATTTGAGCATCTTCCTGGAGGATATCTTTAAATTTCCATAGAGGCACGAAAATGCTTCCTTTCAGTACTTACAAGAAGCAGAGAGAAAACGTGTGTATAGAATGGAGTTATGTGCTTTGAATTATGAGAGTGAGAACAAACAGCAATAAATAGAATCGTTTTCATAACAGCGTGGACAACCGTTAAACTTTTGTTGGTAATCATGCTGAATAATTTACCTTTAACTTGTTTGTCATCGGCTATCGATAACAATGATTTTACGCTGACTCAGTCTGTCAACGGCCTTCCAGTGGGGATTTAAATAATGATCACTTGTTACACATTTCGATACATAAAATGGAACTTTCTTTTCACAAAACTTTGAAAGATTTGTTTTAAATATTTCTTATACCATCACATACAACAGTTTCATTTTAAAGAATAACAATGTTGAGAGCTGATATCATTAAATAATCCAAAAATACGTTTATTCATTGTAAAAAACTTTAAGTTGATGGGGTTAATACACAAAATATCTGATTGATTACGAGAATAAGTACTTCTACGTTGTAATCATTTTAAATGAGCGGCCTTCTATTTATTCAATGCATTCATGTAGGTTTTGTTTGTAAAGAGTTCCTAATAATTAAAAAATCATTTTATTTTTTTTGTTTACTACCTTGGTTTTTTTTTACATAAATCGATTCATTCATTCAGATATTTATCAGTTTGCCTTAGCTATTCAAGTCCTACACAACGTCTCACGAATTTGGTCTTTATTTTACAAAACTTATATTCTTGTGATGTATTTTTTTGTTGAAGAATGAATGTTGCCCTTTTTTTTATTTTTTGTCGTTTTTTTTGTGTGTCTCATTGACGTATAAGACAACCGGACTACTCCTTCTTCATATTTAAAAACACACGAGTGACATCAAGATCAATTCATGACACAAAATAACTAAGTTAAACTTACAACAGAAGAAAGATAATGAACAGCGTTTTTATGGTGTACTTAATATCGAAGTCAGAATGTGGTCTTTGTAAAGATTTTGTAAATTAATCAAAAACAACAAAAACAAAATAATTTGAATGTTTATATTGGAAAAAGTAACGGTGTGTAAATCATTACAATTATTTTATTTCAAATGAATATCAAGCTGTTGCATTTTTCCGCTGCGAGCAAATTTTGACTTTTGACCGCATTATTAAAATTAATTTTCTTGTTGTAATCCTGTTGGAAGCTGCGCTGTGTAGTTTATTTTTCTTGTATTGTTTAATGCCAAATATAGTCAAGACAGACAAAAAAAAATTGAAAGATTACATGTTAAAATAGAGAATGGAAATGGGGAATGTTTCAAAGAGACAACAACACGACCAAAGAGTAAACAAAATAGCCGAAGGCCACCAATGGGTCTTCAACACAGCGAGAAAATCCTGCACCCGAAGGCGCACTTCAGCTGGCCCCTTAACAAAAATGTGTACTAGTTCAGTGAAAATGGACGTCATACTAAACTCCTAAAATGAAGACAAACAAAGGTCAGAGGCTCCTGACTTGGGACAGGAGCAAAACATGCGGCGGGGTTAAACATGTTTAGTGAGATCTCAACCCTCCCCTATATCTCTAGCAAATGTAGATTAAACAAACACACAGCAATACACTGCTACATCATGTACATATTGTGCCAAAGTCGGGCTGGGGAGGGTGCATGTTATACTGATTTAACCCACTTGATTGTGTGCCTGCCCCAAGTCTGGCCAGGCGTGTTAAACTGGATTAGCCCCACTAAATTTTGAGCCAAACGTCCGGCTATCCGGTTTTTGTGTTGTTTATTGTTGGTTAAACGTCTATTTTTACTAATTATGGACAGGACTCGGTGGTCTTTGTTGTTGTGGTCTCTTTTACTTTTCCTACCTTTTATCTTTTTATGTATTATTGTCGTATAACAGATCTAAAGCCGTTTAACTACGAAACTATCTGCAATATATTTAAGTCCTAAACATGCATGACAAATTTGACACAAGACGTTACGCAAACAAAAATCAATACACCAATGTATCTAAAGTCACAATTGATAAAAATAAGGAGATGTGGTATCATTAATAATAAGACAACTATCCACCAAAGTTCAAATGAAGTGGATGTTAGCAATTATAGGCAACCGTACGGCCTTCAACAATGAGAAAAATCCATACCGTAGAGTCGGCACAACAGTCCCCGACATGAAAAATATGAAACAATTTAATTGAGAAAACCAACGGCCTAATCTACAACAAAACATTTAACGAAAAACAAATTTTCTGCTCTTTGGTCGGGTTGTTGTCTCTTTGACACATTCCCCGTTTCAATTCTCAATTTTATTATAGATATAACTGCATATAAAAATAAGAATATGTGGTGTGATAGATAATCAGACAAATCCCATCAGTGGTCAACAGACGTTAGCAATATTGGTCACCGTACGATGGTCAACAGACGTTAGCAATATAGGTCACCGTACGACCTTTAACAATAAGCAAAACACACACTGTATAGCATGAAAGCTTCAAATGGCCTTGTCATGACAAACACGAAAGTTGAGTGGATGCAGAACAGATCGAGAGAAAAAACACGGATACCGCATGGAAACTGGCAAATGGTCCGCAATACTACTTTGGTCAACTCACTAACTTGAAATTAAAGACATGGCGAATTTAAGTCCTTATATATGCTGAGATGTATGTTTAAAAAAAAAGGAAAATCAAGGTTTGTTTGGACACTTTTATAATGCAAGTCTTGGTTTTGAATTATTTGCGAGTAAGCTTAAGGAGTCAATAACAAATAATCACTCCCAGAAAGACAGGCAAATCCATTAACAGAAGAAAAAATGAATATACGAACTACAGTGCACAGTATATTGTATACATATTTTATTTGCGATCATAAAATGTACGAAGTCGTCCATTACTATGTAAATTGGGTGGATTTAAAAAAAAAATGCTGAATATGTTTCTGTTGCTAAGGGGTTTTCACAAGTATAGTAGTTAGCAGAAAGTTCACCAAACTAAACATTTTACCTATTCAAAATTGTAAATGCAAATTTCACAAGGCTTGATCCAAATAGCTTTTTACTGTCTGATAACTTGCAAGTACGAAAAAGACAGGACAGAAGTAAATTTTGTCTATATGTTTTGTGTTTGCACACTTTTTAAAGTTGATCATGCATTCGTTCTAAAATAGAATTTTGACCAGATAAAAGTTAAAAGATGACATAATTGGACAACCGCAATTGTTAAATCGCTTTGACGTCCGAAAAACAGATAATATTCAACACATGCATTGTAACTTTTAAAGCCAGTTAAATCCTTTTTTTGGCTGAAAGAACGTGCGATATCATACAAATTGATTATCAAAACATAACAAAAACACAAGTAAAGAACGTTTAAGTATTCAATATAAATCAAAACACAAAGGTTATTCCTGTTTAGTTTTTCGAATTATTTTATTTAGGCGTTGAGCCCCTTTGGTGACCCCACAGTTTAAATGTCTATAATAAGTACGTCTTGAGCAGTGGGCGTTACAGACGAACGTTCACCTAATCTGACCAAGTCAATGGGATATTTTAGCGCGCCAATCAATGGTCTCGTCTACACTGTTATGCACATGATTCTAAAAGGCAGGTACTGTATCAAACAGGCCCGGGAACACAGTTATTTCGTAGTGCATTTCTTTTAGACAAAATCGCAAATTAAAACAAATCGCACCTGCTCTTTTCAAAAAAGATATTTACAGTGTAGTGTACATTTACTTACGTAGCATTTGGGACAAATTGTATCAACTGAATCAAACGCAAGACATTATCTACAAGCTGAACAAATGGGAAACAAGTATCATATTCTTGACTTAGTACAGGCATTTTCCGAAGAAACTGGTGCCTTAGGTAAAACTTGGTTTTATAGCTAGCTAAACTTCTCACTTGTATATGATAGTAAGTTCCGTTATATTTACAAAATTGGGTGAGCAACCTCAAACAGACATGATAAGTTATCAAATGTGGCAATTATTGGGATCCAACAGCCAAAACTACGTCACATGTATTGCATTAACAGTTTGTTAATGTAGTGTATTTACATTTATACATAACTACAAAAATTTAAAACCTCTTACAATGATACACGATACCTTTAAAAAATTTAAAAAAAAACCCACCTCATTCATCAAGTCTGTGATAAAGTATGTGTATATAAAATAAAAAAGTCATTTAACTTCTCCGATAAGTTTCATTATTTTTTACATTAACCGTTTTTTTCAACCAATTTTAGTTAGATATGAAATATAATACATGTCGGTTAAAGAATCATACACATTCCAACCGAAAAAAAACAACTATAAAATTTGAAAAACAAAAACAACAATAGCATAAAAGTAAACAATATATACATACATAAAAAACAATTAGAAGTTACCCACTCATTAAAAGTGCATTAGCTACGAGATATAAATAAAAATGAAATATGATTTTGTTTGTCATGTTTGTTCAATCATTAATAAAAGTGAAATAGTGAAATAACAGTTCGCTTTAGCGGCCAGTTTGGTTCAATTTTGATGGAATAAGATAAGAAACATCGCTGATGACTTATTCACTTGCAAGTGAATATTTCGACCTCATCGAACACTTCTATTTTACCCCTTAGTTAGAGATGGGTTCAGTTATTAAAAGGAAAAGAGTGTCAACATTGAAAGTGAAACTAGGGTAAACCAGTTGGTTGACTGATTCGATCCACAAAAACTCATTCTTGTACAGATAGTAACGATGATTGACATATATATTTTTAACCTATAATATGAAACAAATAGACCTTAAAAAAATCAAATTGCACATGTTCGCGATCTATTTATATTTATATCTATATATATGTTTATATCGGGTTATATGACCGTCGACAGCCTTCGAAGGTCAACTCGATGGTTAATTAGATGGCGTCTAGACTAAAATACACATGAAATGCTGATACATATCATCGAGCTAATACATCGTAAATTGTTTATTTTACACTTTTTTAATTGAGTATACGTTTAAGTATGTTATATATCAAATATGATAATTTGAGTCAAATTGGTGAACATGAATTTGACAGTTAATGCCCCTTTTTTTTTTTAATTATGCCAAAGCTAACTACAAGGTAAAAGTTCGAGTCAGCCTTTTCTCGCTATTTTTTAAAAATCAAATGTTTCAAAAAGGAGTTCCATAGCTTGACTTATAGTATCGATTTTAAATTGTAGATTTTTTTGATTTCACCAAATTACATCCTTAATGCGTTTAGTCTTTCCGAAAGCAAAATAGTATATTTACTCTGCGACATCAGACCGACGTTTTATCTATTAGCAAATTATTAGTAAATCTTAGTTTCATATTTGAATATCATAATAATATATATACATGGGCACATTATTTTCAGAAAAGAGAAAAAAGACTTAAAATTACTGACATCAAAATAGTGGGTGTCTCATTGATGTATGTGTTACTTGCCCTAATGCCGATTTGTCCTGTAACTGTAAGTAGTAGATTAAAAACAGTTGACAATTTGAGGATGTCTACTTTCAAGATGTTGGAGATACATTTTTGAATGCAAGATATTTTGTCCCATATCCTTAAAGAGACAAAATAATAATTCCAATGCTATAGGACATTAAATTCATGAAACCTAACGCGTAATGCGTTACATTATGGATTACACATACTTATAGAATTGTATTAAAAAAAGTAAAACACGCACGAAAGAACTACAGTGTGAAGTTAACTGAAAATTATGGGAAGGAAAGTTAACAATTAGAAAACTTTTACGTTTATAGGTAGTATGGGCTCTTACGCCAATTTGGATCGTTTAACATCAGGCAATCCAAGCGATTGATTCAGATTTTTAATAAAAAAGGAAAATTTTAAAGCAAGAATGCAATTTGTTCGTTAACATTTCGTTTAAATGAAAAACATTTTTGGGATTTTACCTAATGATTAAATCTATTTCACAAAAACAAACCAGATTTCTTTTGGATTTATTCAAAAATGTTTATACTTAAAGGGGCATTAGCAGTAAAATTCATGTTCACCGATTTGACTCAAATTCTCATATTTGATCTATCACATACTAAAACGTATATCCAAATTATAAAAAATCTACAATAAACAATTTACAATGCATGGACTCGAAAATTTGTTTCAGCATTTTGTGTTTATTTTAGTCTAGACGCCATCTAATTAACTATCGAGATGACCTCCGAAGACTGCCAACGGTTATATAAACCGATATAATAATAAATATAGATATAAATATATAGCCAACTCGTGCAATTGGATTTTTCTACGTCTGTTTGAATTTATAATATATATTAAACATATAGGTTAATCATCGTTTTTACCTGTATAAGAATGCGTTTTTGTGTATCGAATCAGTCAAAGTACAATAAAAAACTTATGGGATAGTTATATGTTTTGATTATACTCCCAGTTACCTGTTTATTGACCAGGCAGGTAGCAATATTTATCTCCCTTAGTAGTTCATGGTTTATAACCAAAATGCTTACTTGAATCTAATGTCAAACTTAGAGGATGCTGGTGATCTTTCAGACTATTTTTTTTTTAAGTGCTAAACTGAGTGTCTACTATTTGTTTATCACACGAGCATTAAAACTATTATATGAATGACTCTCGAGATAATGCTGATTACATGAATGTTATGCGAGAAACGTATTATGCGTATTCTTAAATACTCATCACCATGTATTCAATGGCAAAAGGTGTATGTACATAAATATGTACATCGACATGTACAGCATTATTAAGCTACAAAAAGCTATGCCTATATATGAAAGACACAGAGGAACATTCTGTTGGTATCATTTTCCATTCCTCATCTGACATTTCTCACTTTGAACTTGATATTTTGCATTTCCAAGTGGACCTCTCTCATTTACAAATTGACATTTCTCAATTCCAAATTAGTTTGATGTTTATAATTCTCCGTAAAAGTTGGGAGTATAAATGTGAAATGTAAATTTCCGAGCTCTAACTGGACATAGATATCAGAGGATGCAGTATGATTGCCAATGACACAACTCTCCATCCGAGTCACAATTGTAAAAAAAGAAAACCATTATAGGTCAAAAGCCTTCAAAACGGAGCCTTGGCTCACACCTAACATCAAACTATAAAGGGCCGCAAAATGAGTAGTGTAAAACAATTCAAACAGGAAAACCAACGGTCTATATAAGAAACGAGAAACACGTATGAACCACATCAACAAACGACAACCACTGAACAATACGTTCCTGACTTAGGACAGCGGATTTAAACGTTTAAACAGGCGCCAACCTTTACCCTATCCTGAACCAGTAGTATAACATTACAAGATAGAAAGACATACTATAAAATATCAATTGAAATGGCTATGTTTGATTTCCAATTTGACAATCTGGTCTCCAACTGATATTTCTCATTTCTAACTTGACATTGATCAGTAAATAGTTTTCATTTCTACATTCAAATTTGGAACTGAGACACGTCACCTTGCAAGTGAGTCAATTTGCGTAAAAAAGTTAAACTAAAATACCACCTTTCAAGGTGAATTCAAAATCGAAAAGTCCATAAACTGACAAAATCAAACGTAATCAACCAACGGAATGAGTGAAAAACAACTACCATATTCCGGATTGGTACAGGTATTTTCCGAAGAAAATGATGCGTTTAACCTGGTTTTATATGGTTTATGGTTCCGTTTTATTGACAAAGTTGGGTAACCAAAAAAGACATAATAGGTTAATGTGACCATAATTAGGATTCAGTAGCCAAAGCTATGTAAGCATACATGACAGATATTCAGCACAACTCACTTAAAATTTTAAATCGTCAAACTAAAAATCTAAAAAAGACGCCAACACAAATGTTGATGTTGTTGATAGTAAATTTAACAAATTTGGAAGTGTGAAATGTCAACTTGGAAATGAGAAGTATCAACTAGGAAAAACAAATGTCAACTTAAAACTGCGACAAGTTAACATTTAATTGATAACTGTCAAGTTGGAACTGAGAAATCGTTTAAATTGAATGTCAATACCAGTCTGTCATACCTATGTAATAAGATAATACGCTTACATAATTCTCTAATTCTTTTAGGACACAAGACTTAATATGTATACATCCACAATAGACCAATGGACAGGATTTAAATTTGATACTGCAGTAGTTTGCTTTGGATTTGGAGCAGTCGGATTATCATGTGCGTTCATTTTGTCATACGGATATTTCTGGCGCCGTGTTAATTTCATTAAAGGAGTTGGAATTGTCATGACGGCCCATATTCTGATTTTTGTATTATCTGGGTTTGTCGTTGAACCCATATTAATTTTCGCTTTATATCCATTTGCCTACTATGTGTACAAGAAGACTAACCAATATAAGATAACCCCGTTCGGAAATTTGACATTTAAAGGCCCAGTTAAGAAACATGACTAAGTTAAACAAAATATCGAACTCAACATCTTTTGGAGTTTTAAAAGACTGATGTGCGGTTTCTTATAATTTTCATTCCAGTCTGGTGGATCACTGACTAGTCAAATAATGGGTGTATGGTGAATGTCAATAACAGTTCTTCTTATACTACAATCTTGAAGACAATTGTTATTTCTAATCTAATGAAATCATGTATCACATTAAAAGTGTTGTGCAATTTTCGGCATAACCCTCTGAGTGTGTCATTTTGTTTCTGTTTGCATGGCACATTTTATTTACAAGTTAAGCTGACAATTATGTACTTTCACTTCTTTTCCATTTTACTCAATCCTGTAACGTTCGTATCAGGCTGATATCCTGTTGAAATGAAACAAAAGAAATGGAACTCATTATTAGAGAAGGTATGAATGATCAAGTTGGTATATTTGATTTTTTTTACATCTGTTTCTGTGGGCTTTAGAAGATTAATGTAGATGCATAATTTAGGATTTTTTGCATCTAATATACGTGTGAATAGTAAAAAAAAATCATAGAATGGAACCTCGAGATATATGTGAACTTTGAAAGAAAAGACAAATTTTCACAAAACAGTCCATTATGGTCGGTGCGAATACATGTGGATTTGTTTTTGCATAAAAATAACTTCAACTGAAACAAACCATTGAAAGATAGAAAATTATCATTTCAAATCATTAATTTGCATCTTTTTTTTGGAAGAAAATCCTAAAATGAACATCAATATCATCGAAAAGAGATAGTCGGATGTACCTTTTTATGTTCAGGCGTGTTTGAGTTGACTATTTTGTTTTAAAAACGTATAAAGCACAAACACATTTGATAAATCATCTCGGTTTAGATTCCTTTTTTTTTTATTATTAAGGCTACGTGTTGATATAACAATATTAAAAATTCACAGTACAAAGAAATCAACTATATTAGTCAACTGAAATACCTTTCTAATGAGTCATAACAACAGATTAGGTTGTTTGAATAACAAACAAAAAAAAAACGATTCGTGTTACAAAAAGGCATTGTACATCATTCTGATGAACCAGCTATATTTTCAAAGTGTGACCTTTATAAAGTGAAGTGCCAGACGTATAGGTATGATATATCTTTTATATAGTAGAACAATTGTACATGACTAAACAACTCTGATTTTGTCTTATATTTCTTGTCACTATTGTGCTACACTATTCAATAAAATCTCTAGTATTCTGATATTGTATAATATATATTATTTAGTGTGACGTCAATTTTTACTGAAATGGTATATATTTTAGTTTAGGGGCCAGCTGAAGCCCGAGTCCGGGTACGGGATTTTCTTGCTATGTTGAAGATCCATTGGTGGCCTTGGGTTGTTTTCTGCCTTTGTTCGGGTTATTGTATCTTGACACATTCCCCGCTTCCTTTCTCAATTTTATATATGCCAAAAAAGAATATTCAAGTGCATGGAATGTTGTAAAATTATTTGACAAAAAGTTCCTTTCAGACTGCATTCAGACTTTTTGGGACTTTCTCTGAAAAATCATAAATAAATGTATTATTCTTTCCGACCATAAGACGACTCCATATAGCTTACATTTTGGGTTAGGAAATAAACAAAGAGAAACGCGTTACATAGAAGCCCAGTGTTGAGCATACATCTATACTTACATGTTTTAATTTTCTGAAATTTACTTCACTGTAACTATCCACAATTTGTTCAACGACAAAGTACCTTTATCGATAAAGTTAGCAAAGTGAAAACCTGAACAACCAGAACATTTTTTTAAATGAAAACTATATTTTTATAAAAGCATACTTCCAAACACCATGTATAAACCACTTTTGAGGTAGTAATAAAAGACCGAAGGTAAAATTAACAGAAACATGGTCAGCATAAATATAACTTACTCCAATACTTTAATTATCAACCTTTTGTTGTTTTCACTTTCTTCTTTGAAAATTACAAATTGTAACATGTTTAATCCCAACGCTTTATGCACCTGTTCCAAGTCGGAAACCTGTAGACGTTGTCAGTCTTGTGCGTTTTTTTTTTAATGTTGGTTCATTTGGTTCCACTGCGCAGGTATGTTAATGCTGTTCTAGAGTAAATCGGCTATTTATTCATAAAAAAATCATTGAAATTTGAAATTATTTTGAATTTTAGTCTAGAAACTTTCATGCCCAAAAATAATTTTGATCATCCCTTATATCATCCAAACTTTTAATTTCTGATGTCTCAGCACCTCCTACCTCGTTACCATGGTAACGGGCGACATTCAAAGATAGCGTGTGAAGCTTCAACTTCAAGAGCCCGGCACACCCCAAAGAACTACACCAATGAATGAAAATAAAGTTGTATTTGGTTGACAAATATGTTATCTTTCGTGTAACAGCTGTTTCTTTCTTTAAATATGCCCTTTTCTACAAAAAAATAACAGAAGTGACATATTATCCAACCATGCTCACACCAAAAGTCAACTTTCTTGTCAATTTTGAAAATGTTGTATTCATTTTAAAAACAAGAAACAGCAATCTTGGTATTCATAAGCTTTCTAAAAATAAATATGCCAAGTTTTAAAGAGATCAATAAATATTAACGGGGTGTGCCAATGCGATCTTTATAAATGAATTAAACTAAAGTCCTTTCGCGGCGACATTTAAACACTGTAATGATTCAGATCGATTATTCCCCTTTATGGTATCAAGGTGCCGGGAAAGAAATAAACGACATTTTGATAGTTTTTGACTAGAAATGGACACATTAAAGATGTAAAACAATGTTATTTTTTCATTTTTATACTTGAAGGTGTCATGAATCTTGAAAGAATCACGGTGCATACGAATGTGATGAGGAAAAAAAGGGGGGATACTCTAACGTTATACTTTGAAATAGCTTTCGTAACCCCATGTTCATTTCTAACTCCACATATGTGCCGATTGTAAATAAAATTAACTTGGTTACTTTCTTAACTTCGCTTCTCATAGGGGTTTTACGACTTTAAGATAGTACCAAGGATTAGTATAATAAGATAACGAGATGACGAACGACAAAAAAGTCTTTCTAAAACAAAATGATTCTCCTGATAAGAAAAAAAAGACACTTTTAACCAGAACTAGTGCATGGAAGTATGAAGCCCCTTCTATCAAACTCATGTTTCATGAGAAATATTAATCTACTCAGACCTGATACAGTTTTTTTTTCAATGTATTTTTTTAAACAATTTTAAATAGTTCACTGAACATTTATAGTATGGGAAACCGTCACATGACATGTGTAAATGGATCTTTTTTTGGAACAATATAGGCTTTAAGCTAGAATTTCTAGAGCTATGTTCATTTGTTGAACATGCATCATTCATTCATAATGCAGTCTCTTGCATAGTAAATTAATAAATTTAAAAGAGGTCCATGCATTCCATTTGGTCTAGAATTAAAACCAGAAAAAAATATAATACTAGGTCATGTACATGATGTAGGTAAATACAGTATGAACTTATTTTCTATCATTGTAGAAAAAACATAATATAAGAGATGAAGCTATTTATTTATTCAATAAAGTTATATGCATGTGAAAGCCATTACTTCTTCAAGAGTTCATTATGAGCATTATTTGACTATTAAATTCATAATGTCTATATCAAAAGTTTCATAAAAACTTATGATAATTTCTCATTCATTTCAAATAGTTTTCCCAAACTTAATACCAAAAGCATTGTATATGTCATATTAAACTGAAAGTCCTTATCATAATGTATACAATTCTTTCTTGTGCCATGTGGTTTTCCATGATCCATAATAAATGTAGACATATATCATCCTGCTGATTTTCATATGTTAATGTTGTACTGGAAAATTTTATTGAATACCTAAATTTGTCTTTTATTTCACATAGAATATTCCTATATTCATGTAAAATATTATACAAATACTGTCTTTTGATGAGGTAAATGTGTGGTTTTATTGACTTTTGAAAAAAAACTGATATTCACTGAGGCCAACGGCCGAAGTGAATGTCACTAGGTTTTTCAAAAGTCAATTAAACCACATATTTACCGAAACAAGAGACAGTAATCGTTTTATTCCATGTTCCGAGCGAGAAAAATATGTATAAAATAGCAGTTGTTTACCAAAACCAACTAAACGTCAAACATTGTATCGTTATTGTACACCTAAAAGCGCGCGACGTTTTGCGCGGTGAATATACTTTTTCCGCAGGTGAATATGCTTATTTATTCAAAATCCCATTCATATAGAAAAACCTACTAAAGTTCTATCAATATGGAATAATGTGATTTACAATATATATACCAGTAAGTACATGCAGTTACCAGCCTGCCAAATATAATGTTTGAATTATAATTCTCACTCATTTCACAGTTTTATGTATATATCCAAAATTATCTCAATAACTGCCATATGATGTTGTATAATGATATGAACATTTCCTTTTATGAGTTGATCTTACAGGAAAGAAGTGCACAGTCATTTCCTCAGGTGTAATACTTTTATTTCTTTGTTTTCAATGTTTCAGAGTCAGTTCTAACAGTCATGTACTTCTTCCTTTTGTTGTCACACTGAAAAATTGCTTCATTCCAAAAGTCACATGTGACATGTCGTGGGGTTATTTCATATTCAGCACTCGTTATAGTTTTGTTATATGTCTTCTAGCTTTTATCTTTAAAACATTCATTTCACTTTCTTTAATGCATAGATCTAAAACTATCCCCATATATAGTTATAAATTGTCTGACAATTTCCTTGTGTGTGTTGATCTTCAAAAGAAACAAGTGGTTACTCTTTTTCTCTGAATACTTTTTCCAATTTCAGTTAGTAAATACATGTACTTGTATAACACCATTGCCTCCAAGTCATCTGAATACATATACTGAAAAAAAATTATGTAAACATTTAGTGGCATTTTAAAGTTATTGGTATTGAATGTTATGATACAAAAAGAAAACTTCAGTCAAAATTTTGTGTTCCTAAATTATTATTGAATTAAAAGTAAACTTGACAAAAAGTTCTACATTGATTTAAAATGAACTTTTAATTTATGAATTTTCTGTAAAAGTACAATAAATTTTGTAAGTACAACTTACTTCAACTGATATTTACCTATCAATTTTTTATAATTAATTAATATGACTTAATCAATATTGAGTGGGTGTGACTCAATACAACAGACAACTTATATATACACATAACCTGAGGGGCTGGATGGTGTTTACAGAATAGATAATAATCCTTATGGGCAAAAAGTGCAGAATGAAGGGCTAAAAAAATAAAGAATAAAAAATGACCAATAATAAAAGAGAATAATGGGGTGTTTAAATACAAAGAATAATGAGCAAAATAGATAAAGAATGGAGGAAATTGTATAACAAAAGAATAAAGAACTGTAGGACCCCCAGCAAGACTCATACATTATAGTATTAATACTTACATTGTGTAGACCTCATATTTGATGTTATAGAAACTACACTTTTCAGACATTGACATGTCAATGTAATGTGTGCATGGTGTAAATAAATCTGCAAAAGAAGTAACAATAACTACTGAAAGGTTTCAAACTAAATTTTATACACACCAGATTGTAAATAAATATAATTAAGATTGATGTGAATTGTTTTGAAACATGATTGTCAAAATTTGAAAATATCTACACAAAGAAACATAGACTTCAGATTTGCTTTTTTTTTTGTGAATCAATATTACAAATAAACATTTATTTATAATCTAATGACTATAAACATAAGAAAAATGAACAAACTTATAAAATTTAAATGTACACTAAAAGGGATGATTTAAAATAATAGTATGATGACTATCAGATTTAAAACCATAAAAGAAAAGTTGTTTATCAATTATGGCCATGATAATAAATAATAGTTCTCACATATCATAACATCTCATGTGCCTGCCTAAACAATTTTATTAAATGCAGGCAAGCCATAGGCATTAGTATGAATGCATGCACAGAGACATGTATGCATATATTTTTTATAATTTTTTGGGGGGTTTTGTTATATATTATAAATTGGAATAAACACCTAAAAAAGAAATGATTTTGCATGTGCAGTCAGGGCAATCTGAAGATTCATGTTCAAATATACCTAATAGATCTTTATAAAAATGTTTAGGTGTTTGCCTCCAACATAAAATTCGAATCATATGACATGCATACGTCGAGACAAATTAAAGGCAGAGGGGAGAACTAAGGGGAAAGCTGGCGG